CCTCCCACCCACCCCTTCCCTTCCCAACATCGTATCGCGTACGTTTACCTGGCCGCTGCCGTCAAGGTGAGGGGGCGCAGGGGGGGGGGGACTACCAGCCCTCTCCCATCAACGACGCGCTCATAAAGATGTCGCGGCAGTCGTTGACTCGCGGTTATTACCGCCCCCAGCCGACGGGGAGAGTTGGGTCAGGGCGGTTAAGGGCCGGTCGGGCTGTCAAGTCGCCAGGGCTGCCCTCCTCGACGGCGACCCCCTCCCCCCTCCACTTACCAGACGCCGGCGCCAGGCGCCGCCGCAGGGACGAGCGTTATGCTGCGTCACTTCGGCCACTATCTCAACGACTGCCAGATCACGCTCTATCGCTCCTCTATTAGCATTTCCGAACATTCCCCGGGAGCGCCGGGATCGATCGGTGCAGTGACGGACGGCGCGGTGCTGGACTGGACTGTGCACGGCATGCTCCGCGGCTTTACGCAACGGGAGGAAGGGGATGACCCCCGGGACGGCCGGGACGCGCGCGCGTGATGGCCAAAGTGTGTCACGACGACACCAGGGGACGGGGCCAGGGCGGCCGCTACAAACTTTTCCGCCGCCGTTATCGCGGGCAGAGCCGGGCGGCCGCCCAGTCCTGCCCGTCCTCCTGGGGACCCCGCTCGACGAAAGTCCACCACCGCGGGGCTCCCCACTGCTATTGGCCGCCGCGGTCCTTCCCTGCGGGCCGCGACCCTCCCCCGGGACTACTGCGACGCCCCGACACGATGGCGCGGCCTTCCCTTGGGTGCCCAACCGCTGGCTAAACATCGTGGAAATGGTTGTCCTCGCGCACTGCAAATTTCGTCGAGGGAAGCAGCGCCTCGGGCGCATCCAGCAGATGGACTGCAGGGGGCCCAGGGGGGCGTGGCCCCCGGTGACTGCGGTTCCGCGATTGCACTGCGACCTCGTGCGTTAGCGTGGCGGGGGGTGCGTCAGATAGGTCAGATACTGCCGTCGCCATGACGACCCCCTGTAGCGTTGACAAACATATGTTGCTCTGTTCTGTCGGCTAAGGCCCTCCCCCGCCGCCGCCGCCCCGCCCGCCCATTCACACCACACACCACACCACACCATCTCGAACGAAACACCAGAGTCATCAGCACTGAGTTATCAGTTATCAGCTTGATGCAAGACCGCGCGATCATTTCTCTGCCGATGGCCGCGTTGGCAAACAAAAAACTTTTTTCCCCTTCAGCAGCAGGCCAGCGGACGAAGACAAACTGAAGCGACCCCTTGTTTTTGTATCCGACCTTGTTTAGAGGGTTTGTGAGACTCTTAGGGATTCGGTCGGATTTAGTTAGCGGCCTTCTTACGCCTACGCTACCGACCTGCGTCATGCAAAAACTTCACTTGCCCATTCTAACGGAATTCAGGATGCGTGGATGCTAAACAGTTAAACCTACTCCTACATTTCTCGAATCGAAGCCTACAGTTGCTTTTACATTTGCCCCTAAAAGGAAAAGGAAAAACAGTGTCTATGCTGTTTTGTTACCTAATATAGTCATTGTATCAAAGTTTTAAAAAGCCCTTTCGTCAAATTTACTCACGCTTTACATACTTAGTAGAGTAAAACGAATTAACAGCTTTACTGCGACTACCAAGTCATATTCCAAACAGACTAACCTTATCTAGCTCCGCGCACACCTCTGTCAAGGCAGCATTCGCCATCATGGCACCATCACAGAAGTGCGGCGCCAGGTGTATGATGACGTCGGAGAGCAAGCAGCGTAACGTAGGGCAAAGTCTGAAACAGATCAGGCACGAATGGAGTTGTGCAGGAAAAACTGGGGATGGGACACAAGCAGAGGCCACGACGCCATGAGATCAGCTGAGCCATTTGAGGTTATGAAGGAAGATCGCCTCATCAAGTCGTCTGTGCATCGTTGTATTGATTCAATCTCTAGCAAACGTTAATGATTCTTTCTAGGAATTTAAACATGTAACCAGCGTTTAAACCTCAAACGGAAGTTTTCACTTTACAAACTTAAAACTAAAATAAGAAAAACCTTACTTTCAGAGCACCTACCTGTAGAACTTTGCCGCCGTTTGCCGCCACACTCGTAACTTCAGTAGCCGCCGCGAGGCAGCGCTGCGCTGTCCAAAATCCAAAGCTCGACAAATGCTGCCGATAGCCCCGCTCTCGCGCGAAACAAATTGAACGATGACTTGTAGTGACAGGAATACTATTTTGTTGTTGTACTTTTCATTTAATCTTGAAACGTCTGGTTTAGATGGAAAAGGAAATATATTCCAGAATATGGCATTCCCTGTGGGTTGCGTACTTGCACTGAGAAATCTGCGAACATTCTAAACGCCGCATATGCCGTACCATTCAAAGAGTGGTGAGGCTGACATAGCCTTGCCCTCGTGCACCCAAAGTGCTAGACGAAAGAATAATAAATTCATGCGAAACATAATTCGAAGGAAAAAAAAGCTGAGGGTCGGTTGCAAAGATGGTAAGAGGAGCAATGGTAGCATTTTTTTTAACCCGCGATATTTTTTTAACCCGCGATATCTCCAAGTCCGCACACTCAACTAAGTTCTTTTGCTCACACTCACACATTCTCTCTATCTCTCGCTCACTTTCTGTTCCCACACTTCTGTTCGCTCTGTCGCCAGTCGCCGGCCACGCGCGCCCTCCCCTCTTCCCCTCTCCCTTGACTGGCGAAGGTGAAGGCCCTCCTCTCCCTGTTGTGTCTCACTCTCTCTGTCTGCCTCCCTCTTGGCCTATCCGTCTCTTTCGCTCCTGCCTGCTGTTTTCATTAATTGGGGCGCCACCATCTTCAATTCAAAACAGAAACACATTGCAAACATTTATGCCACTAGGACAGAGAGCATTGAAGGCTCCTCCGACAATAAATGGGGTGGGGGTAAAGTGGAGCAACACGGTGGCAAATGGGGGCAAGGGGCGCCGTGGTGACAGGGTGCAGCGGATTCGCAGAGCGGGGCTTTACTCGCACGCTGATCCGCGTGACGTCAGCGTGCATCGGCGGAGGGGAGAGGGGAGGTCTTCGAGGGGTGTGCGTTGGCCAACGCAAAGCCGCGGGGCGGGGAGGGGTGTCCCCCGAGGCCCGCGACGCACAAATCGTTGGCAACCCGTCCGGCGCCACCTCGTTCCGCTCTGCACATGGCGAAACTCATCGCGAAATACGTTTGGCCACAAACACACACACACACACACACACACACACACGCGCGCGCGCCCGCACGCACACTCGCATCTTTGTTGTGACCCGCTCTGGCTCAAGGAAAGCGATTCCACCCCTCCACCACGCCCCATCGTTGCGTTGAGCGCTCAGCCCGCACCACCCGCGCCACCTGGCCTAGCTCAACCTCGAGATAAAAATGTGACAGGCGATCAATGATCTTGAGGACACGTCCAAAAAGCGCGTCACACATACATACACACCCACACACAGAATCGATAGCTTTTGTGGTACTAAAAATAGACTCAGAGAGACTAAATAGAACTCTCATCGGAGGGAATCCGTCTCAGCACGCGATGAGGAAAGGTCATACACACCCACACACACAGCGTGGCGGCGGCGCAGAGGAAAGCTCCACGCTGCACTTGTGTGCTCCTGCCACAGTGTCGGTCGTGTTGGCGTTCTAGTTGCCTTCCAGCGCGCGGGTCGGCGATTTGGGGGCATCGACTTCGATTGCCACATCTTCTCGCCGCCGGCACGCGTTTGGGATCGGAAAGTTTGGCAGAGGCTTCTGCTGCGTAGCTGCGTGTGTAACGGGATGCCGGGGGGGATGAGCAGCAACGCAAACGCACACACGCATCTCCTCCTTCCACTTTCCGCTCCCCGGTCCACCGCAGCGAGGCAGCGGGTCAGTCCGCGCGCCGGCCAGGCCCGGCCAGCCGAGCGGCCAGCCACTGCAAGTACTTTGAGCCCCAGCCCGGCGACCCGGCGGCCCCAGCCCGCGCCAGCCCTGGGAGGCGTGCTGAAGGCACGGCGGTATCACGCCGCCAGGGTGATCTCCGGGGTGATCCGCACGACCTGGGCGGGGCATCGGCGAAAGAGAGTCGCAGAATACGGCGATCGTCCTCGGCGATCCCGATTACGCAATCAAATCTCCCGCGACTCGCCCCCGTTTTCTCCCTCTCTTTCTCTCTCGTTAACCTCGTCGTGGCGTCGTCGGGGATTTCCTAATTGTTCAAGTCGCATATCGATCTGCTGTGTGTGTGTGTGTGATCGCGATGACGCGTTTGCCCCGCCAGATGTTGTGCGTGTGTGCGCGCGCGCTCGCAACAGTTGGTCGCAGTTTGTTTCCGAACCGTAGCCTGTTCGCACGTAGAGAGGTGCGATAGATGCCAAGGACCCGATAGGCGCTCCGGCCGTGCAGCTCTGCTGTTGGGCGGGAGGAGGGCCTCGGCGAGAGCCTCGGGGAGAGCAGTGACCCGGGGCGCGGGGAGTGTGCGCAGGACGGTGGCAGCGCGCCGCGTGGCCCGGCGCCTTGAGCGGCCGCCACGGCTGCAAACCAAACAAACCGTTTGTTTTCCGTAGCACGCCCCGCGCGCCGCCCCGCCCCGCCTCGCCCCGCACGCACACCTGCCCGACCCCGACCCCCGCCGCCCCGCGCCGCCAAGGAAAGCGTGTGTCGCGCGACTATAGAACCGGTGACGGGCTGCGGTTGTAACCCTCACCGGAGGGTAACATAGTAGCATGACATGACCCCCCCCCCCCCCCCTGGCCTCTCTCAGCTCTCGGGCTTGAACATGCCGGGGGCAATATGATTGCATCATGATGTTCCCCACTGTGCTCTTGCCCGTTGTTCTGTTACGATTAAGGGGTCATATCTTGATATTATACGTACCCTTACTGAAGAAGGGGGTAACACGTTGCTTTGACATCACCCCCGTTGGCAAAGTACTCCTGAGGGTAAACGCGATGGCCCCGCCCCGACGCGGCCGCGTGCCGCGCTGCCCTCTGACTGGCCGCCGCGCGGCCCCTGTGCTGCTGGAGCTGGAGGCGGGAGCGCCTGCCAAGGTCCGGATAGGCAACCCGCGCGCACCGCTGCGCTCCCGCTGCCTACCCACGCAGCCTCCCGCCCTCCCCTGCGGGCGCGGTCCTTGTGCTGCGTCATGTCTTTGAACCTCTCTCGCGCGCGTTCACGCACCTCTTCACACTCTTGCCCTCCCGCCGCTCCCCGACTCGTCGACCACTCGCCCTTCACGTGATCCGCACCTATCTGTGCGTGACGGCCTCGTCTTAATCAAGCGGCATCGCCTCCGACTCCTCAGAGGCCTCCCGGTATCGCAGGGAGTGGGAGATACCCTACACGTTTAGCCGCCGGGCGGCGGTGTACGGCTACGGCCCTGTTATCAGGTGCAGGGCGGGGCGGG